TGTGCCGCACCGTGAGTTTGTAGAACCCACGGTTTGGGTAGATACGGTCTTTCCCTGGCCCATTTGCCTCTTACCCCGTCAACACCACAAGGCCTTTTGGCTGGCTGTGCTCGGTAACTTGACTACAGAAGGAGGTGTTAGTCAGTGGGAAGCACCTGCCTGCCTGGGCTTCCCCCCCCGCTGTTTCTTGCCTTCCTCCACCGCACCTGCCTACTCTGAGGCCGCCTCAACGGGACTCCTTCGTCACACCGCACCACCGCACCTCACCTCACCTCTTCCACTCTACCTCCTGTTCGTACTTCCTTTACCCTTCTTTCTTGTAGCGTATCCCAACGTCTTCCATCAATCCGCATTGGGTACGTCAAGTGCTGGTCCTCTCGAAATCTCGGATCTCTCCTCCTTTGTTTTTACCTTCCAATCTTCACTGGCCCATCTCACCTATTCACCAGTTACTCACCAGCAAGCTCCGGCATAAACGTGGTGGACAACAAAGACGGAACCTTCCACGACCACCTCGCAGCTTTGATAACTGATCAGTCGCATGCTCAAACATGCCATCTCTTGTTTTTCAGACAGCTCATCGTTCTCTTCTTTACTAGAAGGGTATAGGAAATTTGTTTCGAGAGGCGTGCCCAGACGGTTATCGGAAGTTCCACTCGGTAATATTATTTCTGTGCCTAGTTGAGCTTAAGAAGAACACTCGCTGACCTTACTTATAGACTAGGCGGGTGCTCACAAGCTGAAGTATCTGGACTTCTCAAGCTCTCAATCCCCGCTCCTCGGCATTGCCAGCAATTCTCTTTGCAATGACGCGGCGCAGGTTCAACAATGACTTGGCTCATGCCTCCCAGCAGGTCGTTGAGCATATATCCGGCCTTACCAAGGGAGAAGATGATGGCCAAGTCCAGTTTGTCTTCTCTGACGATGCGCTGGTCTCGCCTCTTGTCGTCCGTCTAATCGCTTTGAACATTGATGAGTACCCGCAAGGTTCTGGCTTCCTGGCTTACACCGATGCCGATTCCATTCCCACTGCAGTCTCCAGACTCCTCGATGAGCTTCCCAGCTTAAGTCAGAACAAATCCGTCCTCGAGACTCTGCACCTCATCTCAAGAAGATTGAGCAGCGATCTCGCTTCGGAATCCAACGACGGCTCCGACGTCGAGATGACCGATGTCGACCTGGACGACGACCTAGAAACCGAGGAAGACGATGAGTACGACTACGAAGACGACGTGGCGTTTGGACTTGGCTCCGCCGCCCCCTCGCTCCCGGACCCCATCAATGCCTCGAAAGAGCAGGCCAAGGTCACTGGTCGCCTGGTCGAAGACCTTCGTAAGGCCAAGGGGGCTGGCTTCAAGGTTTCGTTGCTGACAAACGTCACGGAACACGACGACAGCTGCATTTTTGCTCTTTCCATCCCGGTCGCCCATCTCGGTCTCAACGAGGATACTCTCGAGGCCTGGGAGGTGAACTCCTCGGACTACATTGTGCTGCTATGCAAGTACGATTCAGGATACCCTTCCGTAGAAGTTTTCAAGGACCTCGCGCCTGGCCACGCAGCTTCTATGCAATTCCGCTTCGGAAAGTGCGCCTACTTCAAGCCCACTCTCAGCTCAGCCTTTACTGCGCTCAACCCAAAATTCAACAATGCCCAAGGAAGTTCAGCAGAAGATGTCCTGGCGATCGAAAAAGCCCAAGATGCAGCTTTCTGTTCCATGCCCATTTCAAACTCGATCGACACTTTCATGAACAGGCAACTCGCAACGTTGCTGAAGATTCGCTTGGCTCAAGGCCTGTCCTGGGATGGTGCCACAGACTTGCTACGGGAGCTGACCAGAGATGGACACCTGCGCGGTTCAAAATCAAAACTGCATCGAGAATTCCACCTTGCCGACGATACGGAAGCTCAAGTCTCGACAGGAGCCCGTGATGTTCTCAATAAGGACTACGTGAGACACAGCCCCCACGCCACAGGTCCTTTGCCACAAAATGAACTCAGCACGCCCCTGATTGCAATGCAGTTCGCCTTGCGGTACTTCGTCAAAAGCACTCAGTACTGCCTTGTCTGTCACCAGAGGACTGACCAAGGCTTCGCTGCTCTGAAACCATACGTGTGCAGCGAACCCCTTTGCCTCTTTCAATACATGGCTCTGGGCTTGGGTCCCAGCATTGAACATGACATCATTGCTCGACCTTACGTTATTGATCTTCTGGTCAGCTTTTGCGCTGCCGCTTTGCAGGCGTCCCGGATCCGCGAATGGCCGCAAGGTCTGGCTATCAAAGTTCCTCTGATGAGCTATCCCTCGACGACGCCGGCGAACGTCTCCGGATGGGGGTCTGTTGGGGGGCGCTCCAGATCGGACAACCACCAGAGATTCGGCGTATCAACCCTGCTATTCCTGTGTTGGCTCAAATCTCGGCTGGAAAGCTCGACCTCGACAGCACACAAACCATAGTGCTGAAGCCTGGAGACATGATCATTCTGATCAAATCTGCAATGGTAGGCGGTCAGGGCAGCAAGGCTGATGTACATCATTGCCGAATCAAGAGCATCGAAAGCATCCGTAACGACGATGGCAACGATGGTGGCAGGGTGGTTGGATTCGATTGCATTGTGTCGACTGACAGACAGCCAAACAACAACACCACAGATTCATACTGGTCCGCGTCAGAGGGGTCCACGTTGTCAGCTGGAGAGGCTGGTTGCAAGCCCGAAGGGATGATCGACGACGAAAAGGGAGACGCTGAATTGCTCCTCTACGAATATGACCTCGACGACCTGGAACCACATTATCAGCGCGAGGCGCTGATGGTTCTCGTGCAGACAATTCCTTCGATCAGAACCTTGCGGGATCATCTTATGAGCCACCAGGGATCGTCATTGAGCGAATGCAGCAAGATCTCAAGATCCGCTCTTGCGCTACTCCGATGGATCGTTGCCTCTAATCGGTCATTCATCGTACAGATTGATCAACCAGCGGACCTCGACATCGGCGGAATCGCGGCGACTGAGAACCGACAACATGAGCGCTTCGACGGCATGACCGACGAATGGATGCAGTTCCGCTTTGCACAAGGATCGCCCGAAAAGGAAAATCGGTTCAAAGAGGAGCTGGAGAAGCAGAGAACCCACCGATATCCGACGATTTTTGCCTGGCATGGCAGCCAGCTTGGAAATTGGCACAGTATCATCAGGACTGGCTTGGACTTCAAGGATACCCTTAACGGTCGTGCTTACGGCCACGGCGTGTACTTCGCACGCGATTTCACGACGAGCCAGGGATACAGTAGAACTGGTACATCATCATGGATCGGATCGGAACTGAAGCTGTTTGCCGCCATCAGCCTTTGCGAGATCATCAACCGTCCAAATCAGTTCACGTCCATCAATCCGTTCTATGTGGTTAATCAGGTTGATTGGATCCAATGCCGCTACCTCTTAGCCCAGCGGAAAACCGTGACTGGACCACAGGCCCCAAAGGCCGCTTCTACTCTGGAGCCCGAATACATATCTCAGGACCCTTCTCGACAGGTCACTGGAATGGGCGGTAGTGCTGTGAGAATCCCAGTAGCTGCGCTTCCAAGATGGCGTCAAAAGTCAGTTCCTCCCGGGTCTTCGCTGTCTCAGCCAATTGTCGTGACCGACGACTCGGACGACAACCTTGACGATGAACCAGATGACTTCGATTTGATGATGAAGCTCCAAGAGAGCGAAAAGAAAGATGAAGCAGACAAGAACACGACGGCCCAAAGCTCTGACCCTGACAAGACGGGTTTCATTCCAGGCAGTCTTGATTTTAACTCACTTCCTCAACTTTCTCCCCCTAACTGGGCCTCTGACCAAGGAAGAAAGTTCCTTGGTAAGGAGCTTAGCAAGTTGCAGAAGTTGCAGGCCAAGACGCCTCTGCACCAGCTCGGCTGGTACATCGACTTCGACAACATCACGAACATGTTTCAGTGGATCGTTGAGCTGCACAGCTTCGAGAAGTCCCTTCCTCTTGCGCAAGACATGCAGCGCCACGGCGTCTCCAGCATCGTTCTCGAGATTCGCTTCGGCCGTCAATTCCCGCTCTCTCCGCCGTTCGTGCGTGTCGTTCGTCCTCGCTTCCTTCCCTTCTCACAGAGAGGTGGCGGACATGTCACAGCCGGGGGTGCCATGTGCATGGAGCTGCTGACCAACAGCGGCTGGAGTCCCGCCAGTAGCATGGAAAGCGTTTTGCTCCAAGTGCGCTTGGCGATGTGCAATCTCGAGCCGTTTCCAGCACGGCTAATGGGCAACACTACTGGTTACTCAAACGACTACGGAGTATACGAGGCCATCGAGGCGTACAAGCGCGCGGCTGCCACTCACGGTTGGAAGGTTCCCCCTGACCTAGACATGACGGCGAATGCGCAGTGAAGGTTGCGCAATGGGAGGTCGTGCAATCATCATGGATACGGATGGAAGTGGTTTCCTCTCCTAGTCATATATTTGCGCATTCGATTGGAGTTTACCCAGAGAGGTGGCAATAAAAAGGAATTGGTCAAAGGAGGAAAGGGCATGAGTGCCACATGCAGCCACCAAGTAGATTCCTTAGCACCACAGCGAAACTAGCTTATTACAGTAGTCCAGATGCTCTCGCCGTGAATGATTTGGCTGTAGACAAGGAGATACTGCTAGATTTCCTAGAAACCTGTTTCCCTCTATACCGAGACATATGATCAGGCACGCGTGCTGTACATGGTTCTAACCTGTAAACAAAAACGGAGGATCGGGTATCGCAGCAGTCGGGGATTGAACAGTCCCCGTCAGAGAGTATCAGCCCACGACAGACAATCGCGGAGACTGAAAGCCTCGGTCAGTCAGCCAAGCGAGGCTTGCTCTACCCTTGCTGTCTTCCATTTTGGCTCCACGTCCAGCCCTCTTGGCGACATATCAAAGCTTTATGAGGTCGAGAAGAAACAGGACGTTTATCAACGATTCATGTTATTCCCTCTCACCCTAACAGAAACATCTCGAAGGCCTTGGAGCTTGACAGGTAAAACACTCCTCTCAAACAGGATCCGGGTTCAAATCCCAGTGGGGCCACCATGATAGTCGTTCTTTTAGCTCCACAATGGTGGCACATACCAATGATTCCGGCCGTGCCTAGAGCTCCCGACGCCTCACCGGAAGCCCGGTTCCGGCCCTGCCCCCGGCCCAGCGCAGAACCGCCTGGTACCGCATGCTCGCAGACACCAGTCTCCCAGCGCTCCCTGGGCCGGATGGCGTTGTATCCCGGCCATGCCTTTCTTTCGATCCGGCCCTGGCAGGCCACCGCTGACTTAGCCGAACAAATCCCTACCCTCTTACTCCAGTCACAAAAAAAGTGCTTCTAATGCGATCCTTACCACGACCAGCCTTCTCCTCCGCTCACCGCCGGCCCCGACTTGTCCATCATGAATACCCCCGGGGCGAGGGGTCGTGAGGCCGGACGGCATTGTTGCCATTGGTATAGAATAGTATAGTCAGTCGCTCAGTCTCGGTTGGCTGACGCGAGGTGCTCATATCTTCCTAGGAGAGCGATCCTGTGAGTTCTTATCACAGGAGCACTAGGGTATTTATAGCTCTATAGAACTCAATAGAGCAATTCGCCTTGATATGTACCTTGCATCAGCGTGCGAGACCGGGTGGGAACCTCAGTACAAGTATCTGGCTGATGGAAATGCTTGGAGGATCCTTGACACTGGGGTTTGCCCCAAAGAGTTTCATCTTGTAGAAGCGAGTCAGATAGGGGAGGACTGCCGGGAAGACCACGATACTTTGCGGTCCGAGTTGGTGCCTTTAGATCTCGGGCGTTGCTAGAAAGCCAGCCCCGTGACATTGATTGTCACAGCAGCCACCTGCGTGTTTTTCATCACGAAATACATCTTCTCACGACTGATAGAGTGCTGAGGCCTGGAATGTTATGCTGGCAGAGATATAAGTTGCTTTCAACTAGGCCAAGGGGGCCTCCGACGGTTCTCCGTTTCTTGGAACTGCGAGAGCCAGATTCGAACAGACGTCTCTCTGCAAGTAGAGTCTGTTCCTTGACCATTATAACAATTCCTCCAGCTCTTGCACATAGCAGAAATATCAGCAGTTCCGTGATATTGAAACAAAGAAGTTCTAAAGGGAGGGGGGGTTGCTTGCTTTGTTAGGCCCGAATGTCAACCCTAGAAAACGATACTACAAACATTTGTTATCTAGCCGCCATTAGCTGGGTTCTTCCCTCTCTTGCCATCGAGATTAGAAGATGAAAAGAAAAGCATCATAACAGAGAGAAAACGAAATGTCCAAGCTTCCATTTCACAAATGCTTCGTGGCGATAAAGGGACCCTAACGGCACCACCCAGAACTACTTGACGACTGGCCACGTCTGTTTGTTGATGAGAGAAGAAGGAAGCTTCAACTGTAGATTGCCACAGCTGCCGTCGGTGTCCGCAGCCATGTGGGGTCCAAGGAGAGAAGCTCGACCAAAATAGAGAGACGGGGAAAAGAAAAGAGAAGCCATACAGGAGGATGTAAGGAGAGAAAGGAGAGAAGAAAAAAGACAAGGCGAGAATCAGACCCCAAGGGTTAGGCTGGTGATAAAACATGGATCAAGTGCCAGAAGATCACCTGAGACTGCTACCCATCTCGTGTAGCTCTCGGCTACCTTCCCCTGTCTGCCTGTTGGAAGACGAAGATGGAAGACGAAGCCCCCCCAAGTGTCTAATTGACCTTGTAATTGACTGAGCCTTCCCGCCTAGCTTGGAAGCAGTGTCATCTCAAACGCCCAGGTAGTAGAGCAAGCCGACATGTCAAATGTATCCGACAAGCTGCATGGGTCCGGTATGCTTGATGCTATCACCACTCTCACCCGATTTGTTTGGTGGCCGAACTCCTCCCAGATCGGTCGGGATTAGATTCTAGAGTGGCTGTCCGAGGAGCCCTGAATTATGCATAGATGCCAATGTGTTACAGCGGGTTTGACATGAATTGGACCTTGCTTTTTCTTAAGGAGATCATGAACCTTAAGATCTGCGAGTCAAGCCAAGCCAAGCCAAGCCAACAACGCGGTGTTGGAAAGATCTGGGGTTCGGTGGGGTCGTTGGAGGGAATGATGCAGTTCGTGCAGCGTACGAAGTAGGTAATTTAGGGGCGGGTCCAATCGGCAGGATGATAAGATAAGCCACCTCACTTTAGCGCCTCCAACTCCAATCCTGGGGGCCCGGAACAAGTACCGAAAGCTAACTGCTGAGAGATGGTGGGTGAGCCTCCCTTTGTCCTGTCACAGACTCACAAGTAACACTAAAAGCGCTCACGTCGCCCGCAAACCAAATGCTGAATGAATCCCTAAAACATCCGACGACACACCTCACGTTTTTGGTCCCGTGATTGGCGGCTTGTGTTCCCGTCGGTAGTCCTCTCCGTCTGACTTGCTCCTCTGACACTGCTAAACATAGCAGCCGTCACCACTAATCACGGACGACGGGCAGGCGGTATCCATACTGACACACGCGACACTGGGCACCACAGCGCTGCTGCAAGGCCTGCAATCAACTGCGCCCAACCTTTCCCCAGACTACGCCCGCCCGTCCGAGGCCTGAGGCACGACACAACGTCTCGGCGCAACCCACCCTCAACTCCCACTCCACCAACCCTGGACCAACGCTGCAGCTTCCACTCCCAAACCCTCTCACGACGCTCTCTAGACACTCCATTGGACTCGGGCCGCCTTCCAGTCCAAACGCCATTCTCTTTCCCTCATCTCGCTGCCCCCAATGCATCGCGCAGCAGTGAGGGCTTTGCGGACAACCTACCGATGTACGGCTCGTAGCTTCGCACGCAACACCCGACGGGGCCTCTTCGAACATAACCTCTCCACCACCTCGTCCTTCGCGACCCGCCACGGCCTGCGATACTCGTCCTCCTCCCCGAACCAGCCTCACAACAACCCCGAGCATGCTGTCCAGCCGCTAAAGTCCTCCATGTACATCCGCCGCTTCTCCGTCGCCCTCGTGTCCACCCTCGTTGGCTACGGCGCCTGGTACTCGTACAACGGCACCGGCCTCGACAAGTCCCAGAGCTTGACGAGGAGCTTCACCACCGGCGCCACCGCTGGCGGCGATGCTGCCCCGACCCGCGCTGTTCTCGTCGTAGGCGCTGACCAGCTGCACACCGGGACCTTTGTCGGAGAGGGACCCATCTCCAAGACCACCAGCGACGACGGCCGCAAGGTTATCGAGATGTTGACCCCCGAGCAGGCCACCCAGAAGCTCCGCAAGACGGAGCAGTCCTTCCTCGTCAATAGAGGCCAGGGCGTTCTGCGCTACGATCTGGTCCAGCTCCCAAGTAACGACCCCATCGAGGACGACCATGCCGAGAAGATTGTCGAGGTGCCCAACAAGGCCGCCGGCGTTACGGGCAACAGCAGCGACTGGATGTTCTGGGGCGTCTTTGACGGTCATGCGTGAGTTACCGCCACGAGCTGAACCTGTTTGAGTATGCGAACTAACACGCAACAGCGGCTGGACGACCTCGGCGAAGCTGCGCCAGACTCTGATCGCCTCCGTTGCCAAGGAGCTCAACAACACATACCAGTCTTCCGCCGATTTGTCACCGCCAGCTGAGGCTATCGATGCTGCCATCAAGTCCGGCTTCACTCGCCTGGACGACGAGATCGTCAACCAGAGCGTCGAGAGGGTCCTCAAGGCCGGCTCCAAGACCATGGCCGCGGAGCTTCTTGCCCCCGCTCTGTCCGGCTCCTGCGCCCTTCTGTCCTTTTACGACAGCCGATCCAAGCTTCTGCGTGTTGCCTGCACCGGCGACTCGCGCGCTGTCCTCGGCCGCCGATCTGCGTCGGGCAAGTGGACCGCTACCGCGCTGTCGGTAGACCAGACGGGCGGCAACCCCGACGAGGCCGCCCGCTTGCGCAAGCTCCACCCTGGCGAGGACCGAGTCGTGCACAACGGCCGAGTTCTTGGCGGGTTGGAACCGACCCGCGCTTTCGGCGACGCGAGCTACAAGTGGAGCCGTGAGATCACCAACAGACTCCGGGAGTCTTTCTTTGCCCGTTCCGCCTCTCCTCTTCTCAAGACGCCCCCTTACGTCACGGCCGAGCCGGTCGTCACGACAACCAAGATCGAGCCCGAGAACGGAGACTTCGTGGTCATGGCCACCGACGGCTTGTGGGAGATGCTGACCAACGAGGAGGTCGTTGGCCTCGTCGGAAAGTGGATTGAGAGCCAGGCCAGCGGCTCCTCGCAGTTCGACTCGACCTGGTCCAAGCTGTTCGGGTCGAAGCAATCCAGCCTGCCCGTCGAGCAGGCGAGCGACAAGAGCGCCGACGGCCAAAAGACGCCCATCCGGCTGCAGCAGTGGGGCATATCCCCCGACGCGCCGGAGCGGTTTGTCGTCAAGGACAAGAACGTGGCCACGCACCTGGTCCGCAACGCCCTCGGTGGCAAGAACGAAGAGCAGGTCTCCGCTCTGCTGACCCTGCCGTCTCCGTTCTCGAGACGCTACAGGTGAGTCAGGCCAAACACGGAAGCCACTGACACGAACCAAGAAGGCTGACACATGACGAAACAGGGACGACTTGACCGTGCAGGTCATCTTCTTCGGCAACGGCGAGAAGACGGGCGAGGTCAACCTCAACGAGGAGGCCACGGCCCCGTCGAAGCAACAGCCCGCCAAGGCGAAGCTTTAGGAAACGTTGAGTTTCGTACCGGTGGGACTATCACTGGCAAATGACTCTTGAGAGCGACAGCGCTAGACCGCGTGTGTTATTGGTGTGAGTGTGTTTGTGTGTGTGTGCGTATTAAACGGTTGGCCGCGACCAGGCGGCACGGATGGGATGGGGACGAAGGAAACCAACGCCCCCCTTTCCTCGCGCGAGACGAAGGTGTTGGTTCTGGAAAGCGAATAACAGAAACATGCCCGATTGAGGCGTCTGTTCAGAGAAACTCATGTGTATTGTACACGCTGCTTGGCGATAAAGAGACGAATCCGTTGCTTCGATGAGACCATTTCTTTCTCCTTTGGCCCCGTCACCCCCCGAGTGGATGAGTGAAGCAACAGACATG